GGTAAAAATGCTGTCCTTCAACCTCTTCTTGAGAATTTCCAAATAAGGCAATTAACCATGTGCGACACACTCTTTAGGGACTTTAAGATAGGTCACTACAGTAGGCTGGGACGGTTGGATGCGTATACGGGCGGCCTGGGGCCATGACGGTAAGAAGCCGCGAAAATTTTCAATTTAAGATCGGACAACAAAACAGAGGACGGTGAAGTCATGTGCGAAACTCGTTTGCAGTTTCTCTCGCAGAAGGCTCAATTACTGAAGAAGGGTTTCTTATTTTATACGAAGAATACCAATCAGAAGAATAAGTTAAGTTTTCAAAACTAGTCTATGTTTTTATTTGACCTTTCCTTTCCTAAGCCAACACCTTTTGAGTTAAAGAAATCTTTTCCTGATAAAAATACAGTTTTAACTTATAAAAAAGACGGCTACAATCATCACTGTTAGGCCCTGTTGAAACGTCGAACTTCTCATGTGCTGAAACTAATGCACAAATTACTAAAATTTATTTTCACTTGTTTAAAGCATTCTAGACCATTGAACATCGTGAAAATGAATCGAGTTCGACTACACTTTAAGTTCGACGCCTGAATCAACCTCGAACCATTTGGGTCGACCTAAATAGGTATTAAGTTCGGTACATGAAAAGATCAACGTTTGAACTGGGCCTTACCTTTCTTTTCGGCAATTTTCCTCTGCCACGGCGGACGACGGCTAGGTAGAAAACAAGCAGTCGCCATGCGGCCGCGAGCTAAGTTATGAATGAACTCAGATAGTTTCGCTTTTTTTTTTCATTTCACCGATAGGTAAATCAATGTAAACACAAGCCAATGCATATTTAACCCATTGGCTACTCAGTTTTAGAAGAAAAGTGACAATAAGTATACCGTTGTCTGCACGACGAGAAACCGGGCCAAAACATACCGTCCCAGAAGGACGACGGTAAAAGGTCACGCGTGTTTTGCGTGACGTGACATCTATCCAACCGTCGCAGGCGACCGTAGTGACCTATCTTAAAGTCCCTTTTGTCAGGTTCTCAAACATGGCGACGAACCAAGCGACTGTGATTCCTCCTGTCCCTGTTACTATTCTTATATTGAGGGTTTAGGGTTGCATGCTGTTTACACTACATGTTATGTTATAAGAATTAAGAAACATTTACACAATCGAATCGAAATCATCGAAATCGAATCGCAAGGAATATGAATCGTTACACCCATAAATAAAATGAAATAAAGTTAAAACTAATGATAGCAATAACAAAATCTCCTAAAAAAAATAAAATCGATAAAAAATATTATGGCATTAATTATTGTACAATATTACAAAATTCTAAAAAAATTAAGCTAGAAAAGACTGCCTTTATAGCTGGAGATTTTCGTCTCCCTCCTCAAGATTGACAGAGGTAGTCCAAAATGATGGATTGATCAATGCTGGCACCTTCCTTCTCTTCAACCCCTTCCCTGATCCGAAAATAAAGTTCATTACTTATCTCTCGAGAATCTAGGGATCTTTACCAAGAGTCAGGTAATTGTAAGCTTTAACAAGTTATGCATTTTTATTTATTTTGTCAAAAGCATCAACTTAAATATATCCATCTGTCCCTGGTTTCATAGTTAGTAACTTCGCAGACTTAAATCTTGGTGTAAGGACATAATGTGGTCTTGATAATCAACTCCTGACCTTGCACAATCTAGCTAGGCCTTGCAGTTCTTTCAGTTCACAAGGTTACTTGCTCGTTTTTCGGTGGAATTGGCCTAAAAGAGCGAAAAATAGAAACATGGTCGCCTGCGCTGTACTTTGCTAATCATCAAGTCAAGTCATCAAATATTTTGTTAGAGGTCTTCGATTCGTAAGAATCCGACTCCTTTGCAGCCTGTCGATTATTTCTACCTCAGGTTTTCGAAATTTTAAGCCATTTTCCTGTCTACTCAAAGTTTACAATGTTTACAACAATATGCTACTAAAATTGATCGCTTCCAAGACTTAAAAAGACCAAAAATCGGGCCGTGCCAAGAAAACGACACAAGATCTGGCAGGCCGTTCGCCTGCCGTCTGTACCCTTCCCATGGTCCCTTGCGGTTCATAACCAGTCACGCCTTTCGCGCTCGCCTCTGCCATGCGAAAAACGAAGCGCTGAGGAGGAGGCTGTAACTTTCTAGTTTGTGTTGCATTTTGCATAACACTTTGTTCCATTTTGCGCTAATTGTTACGTAGTGGGGCGTAACAGAATGTATACGTTCATTTTAAACGAAGTCGAAACACCTTGACGTGATAGTTTGAAGCCAATGCCAGGTGAAACAATTAAGCGCGAATGTTATCGACCTGCAAAATGCTCCGATGTTAATTGATCTCCAATGGCCAGCAAGCTTAACAAAATCACAAAATCATGATATATTCCGATTTGAATTCAGATTGTACTTTGATTTTTTCTTTTACCGGCTCTTGGATGACGGCCAGTTTTTATTCGATTTTGTGTCTGTTCCTCAAAACAACATAGATGTAAACCAGGGTCAGAAAAGCGTTGTCAAAGAAACAAAAATCATGGATGAAAGAATGGAAACATGTCATGTTTGTTACCCATGCCGTGAGCACAGCTGAAGTCTTCGATCGAAACCGTTTTAGGATGGATAAAAAGCGAAGTAAAATAATTATAAAAAACTAAGAAGTCGGCGGTTTTGTAATTTTTTGAAGACCCACAAATTTCTTGCTGTGTCTAAAATTATTTTTCGCCAAGTTCTCAATAAATTAGCCAGACTTATGCTATTGACATTCTAGGTGAAAAAAAGTAAGATTGGATATTATATAACACGCAAAGCTGATCCTGACCAAGTTTGAGAGATATTGTTTTTTTTTTTCAGTAGATTTTAGACGCATTTCAACTTTGTCATTTTCTTCAAATTGAAGGTCTACGCGCTGTTGACGAAAAAGTTGATTGTCCCACATTATGTTACGACAAAATGATTAAAAAATAAACTTGGAGGGTGCCTTGCTCCCGCCTGTACAGTTTTTACAAGCTCAATTTGGCCAATTCATCATCACGCAAGATTTGGTATAGCGGTGTAGTGTAACTCCTACTCGCTTTCCCCCATTGCGATTTTCGATTAGCATTTAATTCTGCATGCTTTTGATAATTATCTGTAACACAGAGAAAGTTCTTGAATACAAACTTCTCTCTTACTTCGTGTTAAACGCAGCTCTCAAACTTGATGGCCAAGATATCTTGGGCCAAGAAATATTATTTTGCTTCTAGTTAGTTTCAAAACTTCGTGCTCTTGCGATATCGTATGGCTCAATGACAGAAAACATATCCGAGTAGCTAAGTTATAAATACAGAATTTAATCGTTATTTTATCTCAACTAAGGTTCCCACTCTCTATGTATTCAAAATTTCTATCTTTCGCAATTTTTTTGTATAACCGAGTACAACGCAGAATGCAGAAACTGCAATATGCGACTGGATTTCTCAAAATGGATGATTTAAAAATGTGGCGGTTATTTCTTTTTTATCCTCCTCTACGCACGTCAATCATTCGCCAGTTCTGCGCATGATCGTGCTATCTAGGGTATTTGATTAGTGCGATTTCTCTTCCTGAGATCATGTTAAGATCGCGTCCACTCACTGACCGTTACAAGGACTATTACCATGTACAGATATTTAATGTCGGTTCTTTGAAGCACAATTTCATTTGAATGTTTGATAATAGATGAAAGAAAACATCGACAGTTTTAATAAATGGAAAATGTTCTTACATTTATCTTTATCCTGCTCGCTAACTTGACAAGTGAACTTAATTTAAGAAAATCTGAGTTGAAATATTCGATGCCATGAAAGGAGCATTTTGATTTTCTAGCAACTGAAGTTTGTCATCAAGGGAGACACTTTTATAACTTGAATGAGGAATAGATATGTTTAGACGATGAAAACAAAAATCCATAGGAAGGTCCATCGAATTATAAGCAAATGCCAATTTCTTGCTATTTGCTGTAGTGTCCCAAATAGGTAATTACATGTAGAAAAAAATGCCAGTGCTTTTAATTATTTTTGTTCATCTTACTTTTGTTCCTGTGGCTTGATTCCTTTCAAGTTGGAATAACGGCCAGGGAATGAATTATTGTCAATTGGGAAAGCCAAAAGTCGATTTTAATCTTCAATATTTTAACAAACGAACTAATTTATTCGCTGCATGGAAGACGCTCGCTTCTACATTCGTTTATTTAAAAATATAATCTACACAAAGATTACAGCTTAAACTTGACTGGTCCTTGGCACGGTTTTAAAAAGAATTAGTGCCACATTTAATTAACATGGGCAAAAAAATATATATATATATATTATAGTACATTTTCTTCATTTTAAAGTTCATTATAAGTTCACACGTCAAACCCTGAGCAAGGAGGCAAGAGGTTAATAGATTTCGTAATATTAGTTTTTCCCTGTCTTTCCCTGAACGCAAATGACCTTTTATCTTGAAGTAGGAGGAATGAAAGAATGTGAAAAAAGTGGGCAATTTAAATTTCTTAAAGAAAAAGCAGAACAAAAACAAAACCACTACACGAAAAATTTTAAAAATGGTTCTTCTTCCTGCCGTGAACAAAAACCTTTCAGTCCGTCAAAAATGACATTTCTGATTTTCGGAACACCTGTCACAGGATTTCTGTCTTTTATTGCCATTTTTGTGACACATACGTATATACGCTGTTTCTCAACGATGCCTTTCTTCCTTTTCGTCCAGTCTAGTTCCCTAAAAAAAATTACAATTAAGTATAAAAAATAGATCTTTTGATGACTGAATTAAGAGTGGGGAAGAACGGCTAACTTGTTAATATTGCTAAACCAATAAATATGCAAATACGGCTCGCAGTCCCTGATATATCATACAGCCCGACCCTGAAACCACGCACACTCTTTCACCTTTTCTTACCAGTAAAGTAAATATGTATTTTTCAACAATATCGGTGTGAGCATTAGCTTTGATGGAAAAATAGTATTTCACATAAAGATGAAGATACGAAAATTAACATTCGTCTTTTTAATGGTAACAGTTCACGATATTATGAGTAGACAGCGCTGGGTGGAGAGGTTTCCAGGCGCAATGGGCGATAGTTTTGGAGAAGAAACGTCTTATAGTCTTGGCGGAGAGAACAGTGGAAGCCGAATTGAATCAGTAATAGAGGCACTTCGCAAAGTTGCAGATGTTGAACGACAGCTACATGAAAACAAAGGCTGTAACAAGGTTGATCTGTTGAATATAACATTCGACGAACGGCGATGGAAAAAAGAGGCGCTTTTGACCGTGCAAGTGGCTAACTTGATAACTTCGTTATGGCGCGCTGCCGGAGATAATGGTTATCCTGTAGCCGCAAACGATGCTCTGCTTTACCATTATGTCCGCTCAATCGTGTTATTTTCGCCGTCTGTGTTTGGATCAGTGATCTGCTTTGACAACAATTTGTACAAAAACTACACACGATTTTGCCCGTACGCCTTTCGAGATTCCGACCTAAACGGGAGTGTTCATGTGTTTGATATAGCCAGTGGGGATTATGACTATACCACTGATCCAAACGCAATCTGGTGGCACAAACCCAAAAACAAGGCTCTCACCTTCAAACCCGCAAAATCCTCTAGCATGTACGAGGAGCGTTTCAACGCAACCGCGAAAAAGGCGAAGAAGACAGTGGTAGTTCCTCATGTAACGTTTGAAAATGGAGCCTGGACTCGACCTTATTTCGACTGCTTTGGAGGCAAGGTTTGGATGGTCACATATCTCGCGCCATTTTTTAATGAAACAGATGAATTTCTGTAAGTATCAGTATTTCCTGTTGAATTCTGCTTTGTGTTTTAGTTAGATGCCTTCTGATTTTATTGCGTAAAATTTAACAGTGAAAAATAAGCAGTAGAAAGGGAAAGTAATTAAAGGTTTCGTTGCCAGGTATAATATTATATATGATGACAATTAAATCTATTCTAGTGCGACTGTTTTATTGCGATTGCAGATAATTCACCCATCACAACAAGAACTACTCTAAAAGTGCAATCGGTCAGGTGTTTACTTTTCTTTTTTAATTCATAGAGTGGAATTCTCCGCTTGTCTGCTTAAACTGAACTGCAAATGTAAATTTTAACTTGTTATTTTTAATATTGACATGCGACTAACAAGTTAAATAGTCAGATATATTTTGCATAATTTGCTTTCATAAGGATTACACCCGATTAATTTCGTTCAGTTCTGCTGAAGTTTGGATTATCTGCTTCAATATAGTTACGACTGCATTTTTTCCGTAAGAAGACGTGATTTTAGGAACATTTTGGCACAAATTTCTCATAGCACAGAGGGTAGAGTTCTGAAAGAGGCCCCTCCTGTACTATACTCTGAAGTCTCCCTACATCCTTTATCTTACTGTATTCTATGCCTAAATGATCAGATAAGATCTGCAACCAGTAAGTGACTCCATCGCATTTCTCAATTCCATTACTACCATTTACGTTAAGTAGCCACGATAGCACGAAAACAAGGAATATGCTATCTTCAAAAGAATCGAACAAAATCGTACGAGGAGAACCTCAGAATTCTTAAAAGACTAGTAATAATTACAAATTAGGGGAGTGCGTTCGATGGGGAGGGGGAGGGTGATGGGTAGTCAGTGGTAGTAACAAAATCGTACGAAGAGAACCTCTAAATTCTTAAAAGAAAACCGTTTAAATAAAACACTACTTAAATGGACGAATGAGACTGATTAGCATTTGCTTTATGAATTTCATTTGTAACACCCAGTGTCATGCTCAACTGCGCCACCTGCATCATCATCATATAATAATAACGATGTATTTATATAGCGCTTATTCCTTAAGAGTCCGCAAGCGCTTCACATTATTAAAAAAAATTGAAAATATCCTTAAAAAATAAACTATAACTTAACTAAAATCTCAAAATCTTGGAACCAATCTCTAACATAGTTACGTTCATAAAAGGGTTTCTTTTCATCAGGATATTTCATCTGCATCATTTTTTTTTTAAAAAAAGGCCAAAAAAAACTAATACCTGTTCATACAGCAGTAAATTTCCAATAGGCTTTTTAGGGTTTGTAAAAACCATTTTTTTTTATCAAAATGTTGAAGCGGCTTTTAATTAAAAGCTTGATAAGATCCGAAAAACTGACATCTCATAAGTGCATTTCTAATTATTTAGCTTTATGGACGAAATGTAGGTGTTCTTGTTAAAGTAAAACTCCTATAACCATCCAATTGTCATCAAGAGGTAGTAAAGGACCGTACACTGTTCTTTCCACTTTTTTGATAGGCAAAATTAGCGAACTAACGAAAGAAAAAAGGAAGAGAGATGTCTTGGATAATGTAGCGAACTACTCTATATACGCATTAGATAAAATGGAAACACCGATAATGTTCAAACAATAAAGTCAACAGTAGGATTAAAATAAAGTATATGCATCTTTCCAACCACGCATTTGAAGTTATCACATTACTTATTACTTTTCAGTTATCTGAATAGGTGTTATTTCGTTTGGAGAAAACAGGTGTTTTTCCTTCAGCTTTGTTAAGTTGTAAAGATGATCAACAGAATTATCGCTATCACTGTGGAGATCCTAAGCATCCTAGGATCGAATTTTACTAGCAGCTGCGCTCTCCATTAGCGGCCCAGCAGTACATCTTTTCTCATTAATCTCGCTGCAATTTTAAAAGGCCTGTTTTAGCCCGAATTCATTGGGAGTCGTTGTCGAGTAACCTGCAGAGTACACCGTTGGGGTTATTGGTTCATAGTAATTTCGACCTTAAAATAAGGCTGATTTGGACCCATTGGTCTAAATAAGTTCCAGAATGGGATGAGACAGTTAGTTTTTACAAGAGCTTTTTAGCTCAAATCGAGTTCAAATGACTCACTCAGAGAGAGGCAGTGAATCAGAGGCCTTAGGTCCGTAAGTTCTAAGATGGCGTTTCTCGCTTTAAGGCTTTAAGCAGTTACATTGTGTCAACCCTTTAAAGGACTAATCACACTTTTCCTTCGTTTTCCAGTGGTGTGGTCAGCATTGATGTGGTTCTTAGCGATATCGACATCAACCAATGTGATAACCAATACATCTCTGAACAAGGAGACAAAGAAAATTTAATAGAGTTTATGGGAACTCATTTGTGCAAGCCATCAACAAAGGCAAGAGCATGTGAATAAAGACATTTTGAAAATACATTTGATCAATCAATCCCTAAAGGGCGTATATTTGAAATGGAAAAGCAAAAACACATAAGGTAGAGCTGACTAAACGTCATTTCTTTGGGGGAATCCAAGATACTCGAAGATTTTAGATTAGTTAAAATTACGTCGGGAGAGACGAAAAATCCAAAAACCCTTCTAGGCGAGCTAGATTCAGCGGGGAAGAGAATCCGTGCCGTAGGGAACATACGATTCATGGACCTTGAAATCAGGTTTTAGTTTCAATCTGATGAATCCTTTCGGAGTTTGGTTTCTTGAGATTCAAAACACATTTTAAGGACTTCCATTCAAGAGGCCACACATATAATCATAAATAGGTGCCAAGGTTGTTCATAGGCCAATACATACCATATTAACATATTAAAATATTCATCCATTTATGGCATAAACTCGAGGCAATTCGAAATAAAATTGGTCTCCTTAACCTTTTTTACGCTTTAAAATATATATATATATATATACATACATAACATATTTAGAAAACTATATCATATATATATATATATACATAACATATTTAGAAAACTATACCAGGAAGACTTATCATGATTATACCATCGATCGCCTGTATTCTGCAGGACTAGCCAGTGCGAAAAAAATCTCTCCAAATTACTTTCAGATTTTAGAAGCACTGGATTCATGTTAGTTTGTTTTCTTACTCTCCTATACAGTGTGAGACAGTTCTTAACCAAGGATTCAAGAGAGGAAGCTATGTTTGCACATGCAAACGTGGCTTCTACTTCCCAGACGCACTTGCTACAGAAAAAGCATTCAACGGCTCTGTTATTGAACGCGAACATGATCGGATGCTCCGAGGAGAACCGAACGTCTACGAGAATAACTTCGACTGCCGTCGATGCAGTGAGGGATGTGACGAGTGTGTTGATAGCAGTCCGTGTATTTACACTTTGAAGATCGTGATCCGACTGTTACTGTGCTGTCTAAATGGTGCTGTTATGGTTTTGACCATAGTGTTTGCTGTGTACGTGGCTCTCCACTGGAAGGATAAGGTATTTAAACAAAGAATATCACGTGCGCGGTATGACTGTCTCGGAAATGGTTTGTTAAATTTCCTATTTCTTTTTTAACAGATCAAGTTGCACCCAGCTCTTCGCGGCTTATACACTACACATTTTAGAAGTGAATGAGAGGTGCGCCAGAAAGATGCGCAAGTCCCGCGACTTATCTGATAACCGCGTTTAAATGACCGCTTTCTGGGGACGAGTCAAATACTCGATAGATTATTTCTGTTATTCATTACTCATTTGCTTTATCCGCAGTTCAGACATTATGTATGTTTCTTGTATTCAAATTCTACTTAAGTCAGACACTAAGACAGCCAAATAAATCAAATGTACGAAAGGTGAAGGACTGAGTCAAACCACCTTAAACGGCTCACCTAAGCTCATTTTATACACTCAGGGTACTTGGAGCCTGTTACAGAGAAAACATCAGGTATTAAGTGAGTTAAGAACGCAATAATGCTATAGATCTGGGTCGAAGACAGATAGAAACTTATAGTTTATGGCCCCACGTAGCCTTATAATATACTGCTAGGCCCATTTTCTTGGTGCGCCTTGTTTGTAAACCACTACTGGTATTTGCAGACAGATTGCAGGGGTGTAATCAAGGAATAACTTCATTCTGTTTTTCTTCTTCCTCACTAGATTTTTAAGGCCTCGAGTCCCCGCTTTATGGAGATCATTTTGCTGGGTGCTATGCTAATGTACTCAACGGTTGGTACTCAAATTGTATCACGTCGTCAACCTTTACCATCGTTGCGGGTTATGTCCTACTCTCTGTAGTTACCTTCCTCCTAAACCCATTTATAAAGTAATAAAGGTAGTACGCGCGCTCTGATTGGCCGAGAGGCGTGTTTGCATGAGAGTAACTATGTAAGCATGGTTGTGACGTCAAGATGTTTTGTTTTTTGGGCGCTAATCATGCAAGCACAAATTTGAAATCGACAATTTCACTTTATTTACCCTTTCCTTCGTCAACCGAAACTTGGAAAATCTTTAGAAACATGCTGTGCCAATTTTTTTTTCGCTTAAGCTGACATTTTAAGCGAGAAAAATCCATAATTTGAAAAACAAGAACTGGGGCGTGTAAGACTTCGGTGTACAAAACGTCGCGTGTACAAGACTTCAGTACCATAACAAAGGGTTTGCGGTTTTTCTCAGAAAGTTAATTTATAAAAGCAACTTTTACCTGTATTTGCATAGACTGAAATAAACACGAGAGGGGTTGGGAGAATTCGAGACAGTTATGCAAACCCGAGACGAAGTCGAGGGTTTGCATAACTGTCTTGGATTCTCCCAATCGCTCTCGTGTTTATATCAGGCTATGCAAACGCGGAAAACGTTTTCTGTTGCTTATATAGCAATACAGTCGAACCTCCACTAACAGCTACGTACCTATCCACAACGGCCACTTTTTTTGTTCCTGCGGACAGTTCATACATTGGCTCTTGTTTAAATCTCTTTACAACAGCAACGGCCAGTAAAGGGTGTCCCCAACTGCCATAATAGCCTCTCGACAACGGCCAGTTTTTTCAGCTGACTGATAATATGGGCAAAATTGGTCGTGAAATTTGATCCCTGTGGCGCGATGATTAATCGCGGCAATCGTATTTTGATTGTGTCAGGAGCCCAATCGTCTACAATACTTACGGCGAGTGTTGCGAACCAAATGCTCGTTTTGTCGTATTTCAAGTTTTTTGTTTTATTTTATCTCTATACATTATATATGATTGGATACAGTAAGCATAAACTTAGCACAAAACGTGTTGTACTCCCTCAAAAAAACATTTTCATATTACACTCCTACCTTCTACCTTAACGTATTAGTAGTACTGTAGGGAACGATTAGACACCTTTTCTGAGGGGTAATCTCATTAATTTTTGAGTGATACTTTTTCGATAATGTCATAGCTTTTTGTTTTCATGAATAAAGTCCGGAAAATCTCATTACGATAAGGTCATGTGCTATTTATGGGTAGTTTAACACGTTGGATAGGTTTTCTAATTATTTCTAGGCCGATAAATGTCTTGCTTTTTGATTGGTTGACTAAAAACTGAGAAAAGTGTCCATTGGTTGATTCATGTTCAATAAGCGTCAGTGAATTGAAATCACCGATTCGTAACGTAGTCATACAAGTCCTATTTCCTTCCACTTTCCTTGTGCAACAAGTTTTTCCACTTCCGATTTACTAACTCTTGGATTGCAAATCGTGTATAGTAGTGATTTTGAAAACAAACTAGCTTTTTCTAGCACCAAATCAAACCTTTCACTTACCCTTTCCCGTCTTCTACTATCCAGTTACTTCGCTCCTCCTCATTTTGTTTTATTTTCCCTCCACCACCATCACCACCACATTTCTGTTGTTTTTCCACCACCATCAACACTAAATTTCTATTGTATTCTCTCCACCAGCCCCACCAACAACAGACTTCAGTTGTTTTCCCTAAAGCACCACCACCACCACCCATGTGCAATTTTTTACATCCACCACCACCACCGCCACAACCACATTTCTATCTTCTCTACCAACACCAACACCACCACACCACCACCATGTTTCTATTGTTTTCCCTGCACTACCCCCACCAGGAACACACTTCAACTGTTTTCCCTAAACCACCACCACTCATGTGTATTCTTTTACATCCACTGCCACCACCATCACCACCACATTTTTATTGTTTTGCCTACACCACCACCACCACCACCACTAGCAACAAACTGCAATTTTTTCCTTTACCACCAGCCCCACATTTCTGTTGTTTTCCCTCCACCACCCCCACCGGGAACACACGCCAATTGTTTGCCCTAAGCCACCACCACCACCCATGTGTCATGTTTTGCATCGACTGCTACCACCCAACCACATTTCTATTGTTTTCCCTTCACCGCCACCACCACCACGATCAAATTTTTACTGGTTTTCCTCCTCGACCTTCACATTATCTTCCCCACATTGACTCTATATTGGCCGTACATCGCCCCCCACATCAACCCTGCATCGACCCTACATCGATCTAACAATAAAAAGAGGAGGAGGAGGAGGGGAAAAATTACAGAGAGTAATCGAATTAATCATTTTTCATCTCAGTTAGGTGTTCTTATGATCAAAAGCAGACGTGTCTTTGGTACCTTCTATTCGCAGCTCGTCGTTTCGTACTTCAAACCCACAGACATCACCTGTGTTATGAAACCTTGGCTGCAGCACATTGGCTTTTCACTCGTTTATGGACCCTTAGCTCTCAAGACATGGAGGTATTGCAAAACAAATCTGTTTATTAACATAAGATTCCTGAACCTTGACTTTTCTTAATGATACGAAAACTACTATTGGTTCCACATAAAATGATGGTATAGGTATTTTCAAGCATCTGTACCCTTGCGTCACTTCTTATGGCGATACAGACATTTGCGGTATTTAAAACCAGTCCCATATTTCAGGTTTTGATTGTAGAGTGAATAAATAGTCCGCCATTATGAGGAAGATCCAATGATAGCCATACAGTGAAGCACAACCACTACGGTCTCCAAGAATACCGGGGACCTGTTGTCATTTTAAAATTGTCCCAACCTTGAATTGTACTGAAAAGTTAATTTTTTAATAGACTGCTTTCATGGCTTGCAATAAATTTATGTCAACTGCGGATGAGCATATGAAAGTAGATCTGATTGTTGCAGTTAAGTGAACAACCTGAGGACCCCCGAATTTAGCGATGAACGGACGCAACGCTCCATCGTTTTGAGCCAATCAAGCCTACTGGGAAGTAGGCCAATTGTGAGTCCGTAAAAGTCAGTGATAAAACTGGATGATGGCATTGAGAGTGGCTTCATGTTACTTATGATACCATATCTCGAAAGCCGTAAAAAGCAATAGCAATTGTCTTCATAATTTAGCAAACTTTGACAGAGGAATAAAAGGAACTCATACTCAGGGAAAAAATTTCTGGTTCGAAATCTCTTTCATAAACTCTGTGCAAAACCTGTACCCTTCAGGATGGCGATGACTGTTCAACACTGTTTTTGTTAGGAATCTTTGCTCAAATATAATTTAATGTTCAATCTAAATGTCGTCCAGTAAACTTTGTTTACTACGATCGTATTGGCTTAAACCTCAGTATTTGTTTGGTGATAACGCTGGTCGCTGCGAAGATTCGGATATGACTTCAGTTTTCTAGAAATAACGAAGAAGTGGTGGTAGGAAGATGGCATGTTTTACCCAAAAGAACAAGGGAAGCTTGGTCTTGGTCAAGTATTTTTTTTAAGTCATCAGACTTCTTTCCACAGCAAGCATGACTCAGCAGTTAAAAATAACAGTAATACTTCCAGAGCTCTCGATGTTTTCTTTTCTTCCTTTCTTTGTAGGGTGGCATTAATTTTCCGCGTGCGTTCGGCTCAGAAGCTTGCACTTTCTGACGGGGTTTTGTTAAGACGCCTATGCCTTCTCGTGCTGCTTTACTGTACTTACTTGACTGCCTGGACTGCATTTCACCCACCTTTAGTTGAAACAGCACGGACATCTGGTGACCTCAAATATGAAAGATGTGTTGAAAATTGGTTCAACCTCACTCTGATATTTGGTAAGACCGGAATAAAATAGGGAATAACATATTTTGCGAAGACTTTTACGTTTACGTTAATTCAGGTAATCCACAAAAGAATAGCCATCAAGTGGATATATATAAGAGACAAAAATAATAATAATGCAAAACAAATAAAACAAACGGAAAGTTTTAGTTTTAAATGAATCAATAAATGAAATTAATAAATCAATTCATTTAAAAATGGTCCAGGCCATCCTTGAAGTCTTTCAGGTTTGCCGGAGTAATCACTTCAGCAGGTAAGCTGTTCCACAAGTTTATCGTGCTGGGAAAAAAAACTCCCGTACGCCTAAGTGCCACAGTTCACAGCAATGTATCTCGGGGGATGGTACTGACGGGTTCTGCTGTAATGTAGTAGCTGGACATGTATATGAGGGCATTGGGATGGCTAACACACCTCTGACTATCTTGAAGAACAGCATCAGCCTTGTCCTTCCTCGTCTCATCTGCAAAGGCTCCCAGTTAAGTTCCTGGATCAAACGCGTCACTTTCCCCGTCCGGTTCTCTATCCCAGCAGTCCTCGCAGAAGCACACCGCCTTGCACTGTGAAGGCTCTATACTATTAATCTGGTACTTTTGATGTGGCAAAAATACAAAACTGGTGTATTCCAAATGTGGACGTTTGAAATAGGAATCGTTTGCGCGTAGGTATGATGCAGGGACAGGTTCACTGGTGTGACATCGCCGTTTTTAGTCATGTTGCGGGGATCATATTATGTTCCACAAAATCTGACATGAAGTTTAACTGGTTTGAATTTCTGCGTCATGAAGCTGTTCAAATACCTGTAGAGTCTAAAATGTATTCATTGAGTTCTCATTAGATGGCATATTCTCGCAATGATCCGTGGTATGTCCTGGTCTGTGAGAGAAGACCCGTCGCTCTGCATAGCTCAATATCCATGGTATGACACCTAAGGCCAAATAAGTCAGAAAAAATGGTCTTTCATGAAAAGGAATCAAAATAACGTTCAAAACTAGATCACACTACGATTTTTAATTTCTGAACTTTACAGCCCCGCAAAATGGAACGTGCATCTAAATCGCTAGGACCCTTAGAAACCCTATCATCATGTCCGGAGTCCCAGTCAATTTGATATTTTGTCTGTAAATGGTGTTCAGCAATGAACGCCATTTACAGACCATTTACTTATGTCGAGGAAAAAGACAAATCGGAGGACAAACAGGGAGCAACATACAAGATCAAATGCTGCGACTGCCAGGCTACTTACATTGGTGAAACTGGCAGAAACCTAAGCACTCGACTGTCCGAACACGAGGAATGGTGACGTCAAAAATCACATTGCTGAACACCATTTACAGACGAAACATCAAATTGACTGAGACTCTGCGACATGTATTACGTATTCTACAGACGACTATCAACAACTTACTTTAGAAAGTTGGTTTACTAACTTAGAACAAACGCCACTGAATCGTAGCCAACAGTTACCAGCACCGTACAAACGACTTAGTGAGGAGATCAAGCAAAACTAACTACGAGAGAACGACTGGAGAACTGACAATTTGACTAACAATAGACGACTGTTTAACTGTGACAATGGACGGATCGAAACGCACCAATTACTGATTACGAGTCTTCATAGCCAGTAACATCAAGCTTCAGCTGACGGACGACCAATAACATCGCGACGTAATTGACCAATCAGATCAATAACCAGAGTACATCAACTGACGTTATACAACTCACTTTGACTCTGAAGATGACTACCCCACAGGTTGTCGAAACGTCAGTCACTGTCAACAACAACAGTCCAATTCAGGACGACGTTCACCCGGACGATCAAACTCAACCTACTTTTGAAATGACTCCTGGTTTCAAAACCTTTCACAAAGAGATTTTAGCGTTTGAATTTTAGATGGGAACACCTGGTGGATCGGGGGTTTTACCATTGCAAGTGCTTACCAACATAGACAAGGGGCAATTTCGTGTGCCAGTTGGGCAATTTATTGAGAGGTCTTTATTGTAGTTAGATAGAAAATCCAGGAAATGCAATCCTGGACAAAAGTCCTTGGGACAGTGATGCGGTATTCTTAATTTCCCGTAATTTCTATGTCTCTTCACAAAACACTTCATCCTTCCCGAAATTTGCTTTAAGTGTCTGCTAGCTGTCTAATTTAACCAGCATTGCAGCTATCTATCATTACAGGAGATATGATGTTGCTGATCTGGGGAATGTGGCTTAGTTACAAGATTAGAAACGCCCCACCAGCTTACAACGAGAGTAAGATGATCAGCTGGGCCGTTTATAGCGCCATGTTTGTCACCAGTTTTCTCATGGTTTTAAGGTCAGTATTCCAGTTGTTTTGCTCCGAGCACCCTAGGCCGATGTGTTGCAATTAACTGGTGCTACACATCGAGGCAGAACGAGCGAAAGAGTTGTTGTCGCTATCATCTTAAGGATTAGATAAACTACACATTCATGGATGTGAAGACATACTTACGGTTGGGGGACTGAAATAATTTATGGAACCAAAGATTACCATACAGCCTTCGAACCCAGACATATATTTCCTTTCGTCCCTTCTCTCCACCCGAGAGAATAGCGACGACCGGAAATACGCCTTCGTTCACAGGCTACACGGATTGCCGATACTGACGGGTCATTGCCTGGGGGACGCGGTGAGGCATCTACTTATTTCTCGCTTTTTTCCGTGATTTTAGGATAACTACGAAAGGAAACACAAATCCAGACTTGTTGTACGGGCTGGACTTTGTGCTGATTCACATGGATTGCTCCACCGTGATAGTTCTCATGTTCGCTCATAAGGTATTGCTCTTGTACGCTCCATTTTAGTTGTGTCTTTGTACTGTTTTGTGTAAGATTGTGTACTTCCCATAAACTTCTACGTTGCTAGTATAGTTAGCTGGAGAATGCCCTTGGTAGCTTGGGGCACGTGATCGCAGTACTCCACAGCTAAAAACACAATGAACAAGTCGTAAGAATGTGAGAGATGTTTTCAACACGGTTAACATAACGTTTTGCGGCTTTCGGGCATCCGCTAGTTTTGGACAGGTTACTAGAATCATTTATACTCTACTTTGGCGGAGTATTGCAAGCAGCAGACTTAGTATGACTTGTAATGCTTTATTGTTTTGTTTTGATGTTTTTTTCCTAATAATTTCCTACCACTTATGTCTCAAGTTTTATTGAAGAAAAAATTCACGTGTAGCACACACCTGAATACATATTTCAGTGTAAGATGTGTAATTTTCCAGTCAGAGTCTAAAACGACAGCGGGAACGATCTCCATTTATCCCTAGGACGTTTTCCTTATCAAAAGATCAGGCAATGAATTTCGCCTTTCTGGAGAGTTTTGCTGTTGCTATTGCTACGTCTCGGGTCAAAAAATGGCCAAAAATACTTTCAAATACCAAGGACAACAGTTCTCTAATGCAGGAGCGCGAAGCCACTTTTTAGAAATATCGGTTCAAAAGAGAATTGATCTCATACACCAACAGTCACACTCTTAGTTTGTTGTTAGTATTTACTAGTACGCCGGATGCAGAGAACAGTGAATGATTGTACGTCGTCACACAATAATATGCTGGTTCCTGAGGAGGAGATAGTTGAAGAACAAAGTGTCCATCAGGAAGAACAGTCGCTGAGAAAAGAGAATCAAGAACTTAAGGTACCCTAGAACGTTATGGATGAGAATCATCAATGCAGTAACCCTAGAGAAAACTAAAGAAGAGGGAGAGGGGGAGTGGAGGGAGAAATAAGATGGGTATAAATATTTTAGATTTGAAAGGTTTGTTTTTCAAAAATATTTCTCTCTGAGCAAATGAAGTTTTAAACAAAATCATGCCAGCTAATCGAGTGATTGGGTGACTCTTTTCAAAGGAAATTTTGCCATAGATAAAACTTCACAGAGCTTTATTATTGCCTTGGTTATGACTATTAATACCTTTAAGGTCAATTCCTTTACATGCTGTCTGGCGGCGGCGTAGTATAAATAGTCAAAAGCCTGGTTTAAAGTTGATCGCATTACAAGCAGTACAAAATTCCTAAATCACCAAAAACAAGTCTTCAAAGTACAAAAAACCTTCGAGTCACCTTAATAACAGAGCAGAGTGGGAAACACGGAATGTGTATCTAGAAGACTTTACGGTATATAAAGTAGTGTAATCTGCTGTTTGAAGATCAAATAAACCAAAAAATTGACATATTTTCTTTTGTCGCTTTACCTTCACCAAACACTAAAAAGAACCATCCTAAGTGAGATTTGGGTAAAGATTTTTCTTCCCAAGCCTTTATAGAAAGATAAAAGATCAAATCCGAGCATTTCCGAAGACTTCACGAAAACGTTTCTGAAATGGCCGCGTGATAGACTGGAGACTACTTGACGTCAATGTTGGTCTTTCAGGGCGGAAAAACGTTCTACGCAAGCTTCTGCGCATCCTTATTTAACTGTCCTTATTGCCTGCGTTTGTTTGTCTTGTTCTGTGAGAGTTCTGACTGAGACTGAATGAAATACACGAGGTGTGAACGTTTACTCGTTGTAAAGGCTTTTTTTGTTGTTGTTTTTGTTGTTGTTTTTTTTTTCGTCAATTGAAAATTACTTTGGATTCAGAACAACCAATGTTGGAATAAAACCGGTTCATTCCGTCAGTCTGAGGTGGAATAAAACGTTTTAAACATTTCCAAACAGGTTTATATTTTTCTGATAATTGTGCATTCGATTTGTGAGTTGATTTTGTGTCCAGTGCTTCGCCTTCTTTCGCCGGGTTGAATTAAAACCTGCTTGTATTCTGTTATTAATAGTTATGGTTACTTTTTTTACATGCCCAGATTTATTTACCTTTGCAGAACCAGCTTTATCCTTGTCTTCAGTCAAAGAACCGTAACGGCTAACGCATGCGAGTGAACAACCTTGTGCGCTTTTAACTTTTAAAAACTTTCTCGGAACTTTAGAAGGCCAGCAAGCTTACTCCAGAAGAAAAGACTACTTCGATCATTTTTCTGTTGCTCAAGTAATAATAGTCAGAGTTTTTTTCCTTTAGTTTTTTCAGTTTTAATTACATAGTTTTGTTCTCTTTCTGTATGCAAATTTTCCTTTCACTCGCTGTGAAGTAGCGGAGAACGACAACTGCCGGCAGTGACTCCAAAACAATCGACTCTTTGCCCGTAGACATGCACAATTGCTGGAGCTGGATTTGACTGAAGCGAGCAAAACAAAATTAATCCTTATGTGCAGTTCTCTGTATTTTCTAATGATTCAGTTTGCTGAGTTTAATTTGCTTGAATGAAGATCCTCGCATGGACCAGTTATTAAAAGTTACTAATCTAGCTAAGCAGTCGGAATCATGGCTTGGCTGCGAAGCTTTCAACTGATCTTTTGCTTTTAAGATCTTTAGGTACGTTGTTTCCGTACAGAAAATTCACTTCATCTTTGTCAGCAGGTATAAGAGCCTTAAGCCTTATGTTGTTTTAATGAAACTTTGTTGTTCTGCTACATTATTGAAGCTTCTTTTAGTTCACTTAAGCTGAATCTTATGCATGATTGAATTGTTCTTTGTTTGTCGCATCTCTTTGCCAGCTTAAAGTGGTGTCTGTGGTCCTTAAAGAGACCTCAATCGGTAACTAAACCTTATACATAATTGGAAAGAAGTTTTTGCAATAATGTAACTTTGACTTTGTTTGAAGGAAATCTTACTTACGCGTAGGTTTTTGACAGGTGTTATGCAAGCCATGTTCAACTTGACAACACAGCGCAAAATTAATCTGCTCGAAACGATCAAGTTTAAAAAACTATTGTTGCTTTGAAACCGATCTTGGGGAAGATTTACTAGATAATGATTAACTCTTTTTCTGCCCACATATCAACGTCAAAACTTCTACATTGAGGATTTTGTTTTATATTTTAGTGATCTGCGAAGCTAGAAGTGTCCGATCGAGCGTGGGTTTTAAAATATCAGCTCGAGTGCGACAAAGTTCAGTGACTTCAAACACATTGTGGGCAAACTTGAATTTCCTTAGGCAGATTACTATACAAAGATATTTTGTTTTTTGTGTGTCCACGGTGGAGCTCCGGACCTTATATATCCAGTAACTTCCTTATATGAACACATTTTGTTAATGCATCTTGAAAAACATCGGACTTACGCACGCACATTTCCAGTACAGCTCAAGGAAATAGTAAATGTCGTTAAAGTCCGTTTTACTATTACGTATTCTTCGAGAAAATTAAATAATAAGATGATAACCACAGCTTGCAACTTTTGAAGACAAGAGGCCTGTTCTTTCCAGGTTTATGGCCGCACAAACCACTTCTGCGCCAGCGGTAGCCGTTAGAGAAATTTCCCACTTTTTTTCACCTGACCAACATTGACGTCACAAGGTGTTATTTCCGAAGACTTTTCCGACCGCTCTACGAAGATAAGGGCCAAAAAATAGCAACTTTTAATTGCAAATATCTCGGAGATACATGCTTCAATTGAGCTGTAACTTCATAGTATGTTTATTTGGTTCATATTAAACACATTTCACTAGAATTGAACTAAAATAAAAAAAAAGGTCGAAATTTTGGTTCATGTGACCTTTAAAGAAAATAATGCGACTGTAAAAATTAAAGAAGTAACATTTCTTTTGTATGTAGGAAGAGATGAGACGATTAAGAGTCAAACTGGCTACGCTACAGTCCACCTTAATGAAAGAAGATAACCATCATATGAAAAAGCTAAGTAGCGGAGGAGCATTCATCCGTAGAAAGAGCGCTTTCACTCTGACACGTAAAGGAGCCGGACATGTTCAGAGTATGAAACGGCATTCGCTTCAGTTAGCGCCCACACTACAGGATCCTTGCAAGGACGGACATGAAATCTCAGGGGACGGACCAAACAAGAGAGGAGAGTTAAGGGATGCCAACTCAGAGCTTATTCCAGAGTTTATTGAAATCGGCAGCGATATCCCTTGTCCTCAGGAACTGAACCGGTCTGCTGCGTTTCTGCATTCTGACAGCCTACACAACAGAATCTACCATCCCAGCGGACCAATATAGAATTCTTCATTGTCCTACCATATGTTACTGCTTTAGAGAGACAGGAGTTTCCGTAAAGTTTCACATACCCTGTTGCCCAGCTTCCGTCCCCTTGATGAAGGACCCCAGCTCTATCAATAACTGCTTGTTTACAAACGAAAATACCCAACGTCACCAAGTTTCTCAATATTTTCCAAATTCCTTTTCAGAAGCCCTTCCCCCTGTCCTCAAAGGGCCTAATGCTTGCAATCAGAGAGAAAAGCTAACAGAGGCAATTAAATTTAACGTAGCTTATGGGCTACTCCTTTATTTCTAAATGTGAACCCTAAGCTTATCTTGCAAGTTTGTTACCAGCTCTAACACTTTAACAAACCAAATATTATCAAGTTTCAGTTTATATTTACGAGTACAGTACGAGATCTCAAAACAATCAGTCAATATATAAATCAAACAGCCAATTCTGACTCAATCAATCAATCAATCAATCAATCAATAAATCCATCAGTCATTAAATCAATCGATCAATCAATCAGTTAGTCAGTTACCAAACCACTTTAGGGAAGCTTTTAAGAAAAAAAAAAAAAAAACAGAAAGAAAGGTTTTAATTACTTCGGTCCCTCGCTCTATGCCTTTTACTTGAGCCAAACCAGCAAATGGGGAGTGGAACGATCATATCGTGCATTTGGCCAATCAGAATCGCTCCATCTGCTTGGTTTGGAACCTGCTAACATCACGCCAACCGCCATGCAGTAGTCTTTCACAGCTGTATTTCCGACTTGCTTGTTAATCAAGGCGTAACGGTACGAACCACCGTGTTGCTGGAATGGCATTATCCCGTACATGTTCTGGTAACAAACCTAACGGAAAGAAAGACAGCTGTTATCAAAAGACATAAAAACAACGGCAACAAACCCAGCGGATTTGGGAAAAACTGCTAGAAAAAATGGCTATCGAGCGCACTACATGTTTTATTGTAATTAAAGCGAATAAAGGGTCTTCGGCAACCCTTAAGTTCGTTGTCTGCTATTTTCTGAGAACTATTTCATGGAAAGTGGCTATAAATTGTGGCCAACTTGTTCAACATGGTAAATCTTTGAGAGGGATGCATAAGGCATTGCTTCGTTGGGCGCTCAATTATCTAACTCTCCATTGGTTCGACTACTTATTCGGGTAAATTGGCCAACATGAAATTCGTTCCTTTTCCTTGCATTGCTCATCTCGTACCTGGCTTTTTCCATTCGATGCCGTAACAGTTACTTGGTTTGTAGTAGCTGCTGCCACTTTTGCCTGACCGACGCCATGATTCCACCAAGTACCATAATTTCTGTCCAATGGCATCTTCCATCGAATCCACCTGTTTCCAACTCCGGAATGATTTTCGCTGCTCGAGATAATAACCGCAGATGAATGCCATGCAGCAAGATGGCGAGCATCCAGGCAGGCATACTCAATGCTGCCCGATTTCATTCCGGGAGACTTTAAAAGGTTACTGTTGACGTTTCGTACAAGCGATGAATTGAAGATGTTTCCCACCTGGCCGCTGATTTTTCCAACTAGAGTCGATCTTCCTTTATCCATGTCGCAGAACGTTTGACTACTTTTCGTACCTGCTCTTGCTGTCTTGATCCAGTAGAATCCATTAACAGCCGATGATTTGGATTTCCCAGTGAGATTCGCATCGTAGATCTGCTTGCAAGAGTCAGCAGGCCTCATTTTTCCCCCAAGGGTCGGATATTTGTGGAGAGGAAGGCGACAAATGTTTCCTGTGATCACTCTGGGTTTGATTTCTACAAGGATGCGAACCTTTATATTGTCGTAATATGACCTGCAGTCGGTGGGACTCCCACTGCTATGACAGCCCAAAGCTATGGTGCACCTAAACGATAAAAAAAATTCCCAAAATCACCTTTTCGGCCAGCCGGACGGGTTCTCACTTTTGACAGGCACCATATTTGCAGTGCGATTAATAGAGTTAACATTTACGCTTCAAAATGATAGAGATTTTGTTGTGTTTAGGTTTCATTTCCCTTTATGTATAAAACTGTTTATGGGTTTGTTATGTGTAATCTAGATCTTTTAATATAAGCGAGTGATATTTACGCGCTGCGTTTTGAGTATTCCTGCATGCGATGTTTATGTACAACTGAAAACAACCGGTGCGGCGATAAAAATTGCGAGAGGACTACTAACGATCAATAAAATAAATATAATTCGGTGAAACATGTACAGAGACAATAATTTTCATTCACGAAGACAAGTATTGAGCGTAAAGTGTCCCTGAAAATCATGAATCAGGTAAGCATAAGGTTATTTATGTCTTAGGCCGGCTTCCCGGTGTTTGCTGTTTTTCAAGATGAACTCGAGGTAAGAAAATCAGCTTTCTGTTTACAGCCAAAATCATAACTAAATATTCTTCGGAACGTTTTCTTTCGTTGAAATTGCGGTCAAAAAATGTCTAAAGGTTTTATTGTAGGTTATAAACTACTCGTGACCTCAGGAAACCGAAAAAAAAACATCAATACAGTAATTGCTCAGGCTTACCAGTCAAGATGCTGCTCCTGAAGGCTATCAAGCCAGGCCAGAATCGCCTGAGACTTTTCAACCCTTTGTACGCCTCAAGCAAGGGCAAGTGAGTTAGCTTATTTTTGAAAACGATGCCATTCGAAATCGGATTTCCAATGACTTTTACAAGCGGTGCATTTCTCAGCCAAAAGCGCAATAAAAAAACCAGCCATGAATTACACAGAACAGTCTTGTTAGCAGCTCTATTTCTCTTGCTACATCAAGTAGAAAAAGACAGTTAAAAACATCACAAGATGACACAAACCCCTGTGAGCTTCAGCTATCAGTAAGCAAGTTTCCAAACGCTGCATAAATTTTCTGCATAACCTCACCTGTCAAATTTTGACCAATCAAAGCATGAAACTTGGACGTAGAGTGTGATCAACGAGTGACTATTGCAAGAAAAGTCAAAAGTGATTGCCTTCCAAGCATGTAAAAACCGGTTGAATTTTCGCGTCCGAGATCGCTTTGAAATCAAAATTTTAAAAGTGCGGCTCATAAAAACGACTTATTACATATGCATTTCAAATAAATTGAACTTGAGCCTGCGATCATTTGAAAAGTAGCAACTTGTCAGCGGATAACTTCAAAAAACACTCAAAATCAGTGGGTTGAAACCCGAGCCCGCGATATGGTCAGGCGATACTGGTCAGCAGATACACTATTTTGACAGCTGTCAATTAATCAAAACATGGATGTACAATATCAGGTTGCAGGCCCCCAAACTAGCGAGAAAGTGTGAGATTAAACATTGTATGCCTGTTGTGCGGACCGACGGAAGGTCAAGTGGTCGGTGTGTATAGATTTTCTAAGCTATAGGGTTTCGAATTGAGCCTGTGATCAAATAAAATCAGCGGAAAACTTAAAAAATACGTGACCTTGATGGGTAGAAAAATGAGCCCGCAATACTGTCAGGTGATGATGGTCAGCGGATACTCTAGTTTGACGGCTGTCAATTAACCTTCATCAGAATCGCGAATATTCGAATTAAAAGACTACGAGTGTGAGCAAGACATATCCATCCGGCTTGTAGTGGAAAATGCCAGATAGTGTATCTGAGCGGACCTGAGCCCACGTTATTAGTTTTCTGATAGTGGTCTGCACATGTCCCATTTTGACAGCTGTCGATTGACCTTAATTTGGCTTGTGCATATAACTTTAAACTACTGACCGCGTAGTTTCGTTTTTATGTTGAATTGGTAAGTGTAACATACTAGATCAGCTTATATGTAGGGCAAAACGACTGGTTTTTCAGCTGAGCCCAAGAGATGGTCATGTGATAATTGTCAGTGGATGTCTGATTTTGACAGCTGTCAATCTAATCATACTCATATGGATGGCTTACATAACTGAAAGGCTAGTCAAGTTGTGAAAGATCTATTGTGACATTTGACATCAGCTTACATGAAGTGTGTGTACGGACGGGCAGGCGGGCGTACGTTACGTCATAACCAAATTTTCTCGGATGGATAGTTTACCAAATTTTGTTACCCATTATGCTCCGCTATAATTCTACCTTCTTGCTTTTCACCGTCAAGTATAATGATTGTGTTAGTTTTTCTTTCTTGTTTCCTTGTTTTTTCTTCGTTAAAAACCAAATAGCTTCTAGTGTTCTTTGAAATTAAAGAAATCATTGTGTTTTTGAACTTATGGTTTTCGTGTGCGGTGTGTTTATTTTATTACGTGATTGCGACCGAGTTTGATTATAGAATTCAGCACAACCGGTTCGGAGTTGTACTGCATACAGTTGATAGTTTGAACGTTAAACATGAATTACGATCGAAAAAATAAAGCAATTCTGTATCATGCAGACATTTCCAGACGATATTTCTTGGTTTGCCACTTGAAAATAGTGTTTTACTTTTTGCATAAATTAAAGCAAAGGTCAAGGAGTAGTGACGTCACTGGACGGCATTAACGGCCGGTCGATTCAGACGTTACTGAGGGAGTAACAACGACTCGAGGTACTGGGATGAAATTCAGGCTAGTTAAAGCTGAGCTCAAATTAAACTACAGTATTTCCTCGAATAATAGCCTGGGGCGAGTATTTCTTTTTTCGCATCAAAAGGGGGTGATTATTTGAGGGAGGCTATTATTTCAAATATTGCTCATCAAAGGGGGAGTACCGGACAGAAGATCCCGCAAAAAGGACATACCAGTAGTGAAATTGTACCAGTTATTGGTCCAACTTTGGGCAAAAAGAAGAGAAAGACTTCTGAAATGTATACTAGTCAAATCAATGCAGATGCATGGACATTTTAATAATAATACGTCATGTAAGGGTAATACTGCGCTGTGACAACTACCGACAAGGAAAATTTGGTAGGTTCATTAAATCAAAATTCAAATATCTTGGGTTGTTTCTCCGACGTTAAAACGATGAGGGGAATATCAGCAGGGAAATATGACAAGGGGAATAAGAGCATTATGATGATTGATTAAAAATTATAATCACCAAA